TTGAAACATTGTCTTAAGAGTAATGAAGTTTAATGGTAAAAAAAGATATAATTAAATTTTCATGTAAGCTAGAAGGAGAAATCAAATATTCTGTGCAGTTCAAGAAAAAAAGCAATGGGCCGAGGATGTAGCACAGCGGCACAGTGCCTGCCTGGCAAGCATGAGGTCCTGATTTCAATCCTCAGTACAAAAAAAAAAGCTTTGATTAACAAAGAAATTGATAAGTTTGCATATTATATGGAACACCATAGTTACTGCTAAAAGAATAAGGAACAGTGAGTACTAGTTGAGGAAGAAAAATAGAATTACTAGCAAGCACTTAGTATATCTAAAAGTAGATAAGAAAGTAAAGAAAAACAAGACAAGTGAAACAAAAAAAGCAAGATAATTGGTAGATATAATTTCTGAGTTATAATGTGAACAGATTAAATATTTTTAATTGTAGTTAAGCAATAAAGATTGGCTAAATTTAATAAATACAGCTGGGCACTAATATAATAAGCATATCTGAAACAAAAGGGTACAGAAAGATTGAGAAGAAAGAATGAAAACAAAAATTATTCAAATACTATATATAACCCCTCTCCATATGACCCAAATCTAAAATCTTTAAGGCAATAGAATTATTGAAATTAGAATGTTTTTGTCCAATGTTTTAAATGTTCAGTTCCTCATGCAATATCAGTTTCTTTTGTTTCTCTAAACCTCACTCTTATAAGAAAGTTTATTATATAAGCAATATATATTATTAAAGAAAAAATTGGAAAGTACTAATATCCTAATAGGATTTTTCTGTTACCCAAAAACACATAGAGAGAGTCAAATACTATGAATATATTTAGAAGTTTTGAAACAAATGGTACATGTATCACATACAAATATATATATGGAGTTACATCATAAAAGCAGTGCCAATGTGAACTTTTACTTTCTTGCTCATACCCTATTTTGGTCTCATTGCCTGTGTATGCCAAAATCCATATGTTGAAAAATAATCCCCAAGTATTAAGAGGTGAGGCCTTTGAGAGACAGTTAGGTATTGAGAGAAGAACTTGATGAATGGGATTAGTGCCCTTATAGAAGACTCCCAAGAGAGATGCCTTGTCCTTTCCACCATGTGAAGTTGCAGGGAAGTAACTATTGTGTGAATTAAGCAGTCCTCACCAGATGGCAGATCCTCTGGCACTTTGATCTTGGACTTCCCAGACTCCAGAACTGTGAGAAATAAATTCCTGTCCTTTATGAGCTACTCAGCTCATGGTATTTTGTGATAGGACCCTGAAAAGACTAAGATACACTCTATTATTATTAAAACTGTCAAAAATTTCATTGAATTAATAGAATGAACATTGTAACTTAAGCTTTGGGTAATCATTTTATACATGTGAGTTTTTTATGGGAAAAATGTTTACTGTGAACTATTTCAGAATTACCAAAAGGATAAAGAGTAATTAAATGATAGCATAATGAATACTTATTTATCCCTCATCAAGCTTAAGGCATAAAACAGTACCAATTATGGTTAAAATTATGTAATTTTCCTGGCTTATACCCTTCTTTTCTAGTATTTTTTCAAAGTTTACCACCATGTTGTATTTGATATTTATCAATCCCACATTTTTCTGAATAGTTTTATTCTCTTTTTTTCATTAAGTTTATTGGTACATTTTAGGTATAAAATACAGTTACATTCATCATTATGATCTTGTACCATTACATGAGTATCTTGGTTCTTATATTTTTCCCCATTCCCCTGCCCTCCTTTCACCCCTTCCATCCTTCCCTATTTACAAAGACTTTGTTTCCATTTTTTTCCTTTTCTCATATTTTTTCTTTTCCCTTCTTTTCTTTCCCCT